AAAAAACTTTACTATTCTTTCCTCATTGCTGGTAGCATCAGTTTCTGTGTTGAAAAATGGCAACCTCTTCCACACAAAGATCAAGGACTATAAATTTTCACATTCTGGGCACTATAAGAGCCATAAACAACAATTTATTGAATGAATCTCACTTCACTAGGCATGACTTTCCCAAAGTTGTATAATGTGTGAAATCATTTATTGCTTGGAGACCTGTTAAACAGGCAGCCACAAAAGCCCATTGCATCTCATAGTTTGAAGCCTAAACCTCAACATCATTTATTTCTAAGCTATTTTTTGGGTACATGCAGAAATCAAACCCTTGTAAAATCTTTTTAATTTCCTGCTCTCGTTCTTTGGGCCCACAGACTGGACCTGTAAGATATTTCACTTTTTTTTCTGCATTACTGGTAAACTCCTTTAGTTTCAGCTGAGATGCCCATAAACAAAATTCACGTCAGACAAGGCAAAGGTTCCAAGACAGACAGTTATTAGCTCAAAGCCAGAGTGTTTCATTTTAGACTTCATCCCCATTTAAACCATGAAAACCTCAGTAAGTATTGAATTTAAATCCACTGTCACTTTCTCTGGGCCTTTGTCAAAGGACTCATTATTAGTTTCTATTTTACAGTACCTCCTAGATCCCCATGCTGAGAGGGGCCACACTGTATCAAGTAGAGCTGTGTACACACACAGAGCAAGAAGTAGTCTCCATCCTGGAGCGTTTAGGATCCCAGACAGACCAGACAAAGGATAAGAAAGAGGGGCTACGTTGCCAGCATGTGTCACACAGCAGGTCGGAGGGTTCAGAAGGAGAGCTCAGGATTCACAAGTCTTAATCCAGGGCCTTGTCTACCACATCAGATTTTGTCACGCTCATTTAAAAAAAAACCCTAAGTATATGCATATAATAAAGGGTACATAAGGATATAATAAAGTATATGAATATAAACTTTTTGTAAGAAAGGTTCTGTCCCTTCTTACAGGAGCAACCACAAAACCTCCTAAGCCTTTTGGGTCAATCTGAATCCTCTCCTTCCTCAAAGTACATGCTAATGGCCCCTAACCTGATGGCTCACTCTCACAACAGAAACAACAGTTTGCCGGAGAACGGTTTTTGCAGAAGAGCACAATGTTTGGATATGTGTTTACTGAAAGCGATCTTTGTAATTTCTAGTTCCTGTTGGTCCTGGTGCCCTGTTTCTGTGTGCCAAAAGAGAGAGCAGCAGCGCTTTGCCTGTAAGCAGGGCTCTGCTCTGAGTCCTGTAGGACTAGGCAGCTATCAGGAGAAGGTAAATTGCATGGGCAAGCCTGAGCTGTTAGCTTCCAGTCAGGCTTGCAATGTGTATAAAACCCTGGTTGCCTGATGAAGTCCTGGGTTACCATGAGTCCTCAGCATCAGCAACATGACTGTTTTCCAAGCCAAGCTGCCTTAAGCCTGTCAAAGTAGGTTTAATTGTTGCTTCTTTCCTCTGAACAGTGCCCAGAAGCGTTATATGGCATTGGCTAGGCCAGCCGTCCCGGAGAAATGCTCCAGGGAACGGCAGCTTTCTGTCCCAGCCCCCACAGCTGAGGATGTCTCCTGCAGCAAGCCATCCCCGCAGTGCAGTGCCCACAGTCCACGGACACAGGCTCGGGGTGCTTTGCCACACCAGGGCAACATTACAAAGGTGTAACTGGGAACTCCGAAGCAGAGCAACAGTTGGCGGCAGCACAGCGCAGCCCTCATTTTCTCTGTACCATTTCTGTGATTTTCCACTCAAATCGTTGTGCCATTTGAAGGAATGCAGACCTAAGTCATTCTGAGTTACAGTCAGACTTGTGGGTGCCACTAATTCTGCTATATGAACAGTAAAATAGAAACAGACAGAACGATGCAATTAAGCATGCTGTAGAAAAAGTCAGAAGGAACATGCCAACAGTATTTTCAAAAGCCACCTGCCCTTATATTCATGGTGTGACTCACAGATCTACTAAAGTACTGCAGAAACCCTGGCCTAGCTACACAATTCTCACCAGGAGTTTATGTGAAATTAAGTCATCCCAAATGGTCATTCAAACTAAGGGTTACTGACAAGGGAAGGGATGAAATAAAATGTTCCTGTTGTTCTAGACAACAAAAAAGACTGCTAAGGAAGTAACTTTATAACCTGAGAAGGGTCTGCAGCTTTAAGAAATTCTCCCCTAAAGGTTGTAAAGCTTTTACTATGCAAAGTATTTTTGCTATTATATACACTGGCGGCCACTAAGTGCAGCTATTATTTCTGGCGGTCATTCAGAGAAGGTCGGGGCTGATAAAGTGTTTAACAGAGTTTGTTTGGGTAGATCCATCTGTGTTTTTAACCACCCATACAGTCTTTCGTGTCCTTTTAAAAGACGCTGGATGTTCCTGAGTCTAATAAATTATGGACTTTATTTTTATTTGCCATGTTTTATTATTTATCATGCCACAGCAAAGAATATCTTCTTTAAAATGTCCACACTTTTCTGTATGGATTACACAAGCATCTGAAAAAGGGATGATTCTTTGCTGCGGGGCAGGGGTGCAGCCTACACAGAGCTCCCACCTCCTTGGTAAAGGCCATGTGGAGTTGTGACCTGTCACTCTCACTCCTTACACCTTGAGGTGAGTTCATGCCTCAGAGGAGCCAAGGAAGGGAGATTGCAATCAAAGGGCAAGGAAGCAAGAGGTATGTTGAAAGGATGTAGCAAGGAGGCCAAGATGGAGCTTCGGAAAGGAAATGTTTTCAGGTCATGTGAGCACCAGGAAAAATATCCTAACTAGTTGGGATGGACTGTAATAGCATTCTTAACACTCCCACTGGATGGGTTTGGTAGTGCAGGATTTGAAACCTAGCCCCATTATAAACTTTCTGTACCTCATGGAGCAAACCAACTGAACTCTCAGCTCCCCACTTCCCTGCCTGGCTGCACTGCATGGCCACAAGGTGAAGCACCTCAGTGACGATCTCTGCTACTGTTTATGAGTACTCTGTTCCAAAACCTGCAATGAAACATTGCTAGGACTATATTGCTTCAAAACGCTGTGCAAACATTTGCTGACTATGAAGCAGGTAAGTATTGGTATTGCCATTTTACAGACAGGAAAGTAAGACAGAACAAGTGGCTTGTAGCTAGTGACCGCTAGCAAATGTGTGCCCCACCTGAGGCAAATAACTTCCATTGATGTAAAACTTATTTAAATCCTACAGTGAGAGGATCCTCACATCTGACAACCATTCTGGACTCTTCATAAAGCTTTTTGTATCCAGAGATAGTACTGTCCAGAACGTGTGGTTCAGGTCCCTTTGCTGCTTACCTGAGCTTATCTGCTACAAAAATCACACGCCGCTCCAACAGGAGAGAAGCAAAGATCCTGATGATCTGACGAACGCTGAGGCACTTGAAAAGGCATTCAAAGTCCACGTGTTCCAGGCGCGAGTCCATGGGCCGCCGCAGCTCAATGACCTGAACACATCCAACAAACATCAGTCAGCATCACTGGTCAGGGCTGACAGCGCCAGGGGCACCTGGCACCCCAGCCCAGACCCTCCGGCACCACTCCATGGTTTCCTGTTGAGGGGACAGAGAGAAAGACCCCCATTCTCTTTTACAAACTGAGGCTGGAGGCACAGCACTCCAGAGAAATGGCGTATTACACAATTCGCTATCTGGTCATTCTTCTTCCCAGAATACAGTTGTCACATTAAATCTGCTGTCATTTCCAAGGGAAGCATAATTCTGCCTTCTAAACACCCTGTCAGAGATGTAAAGCTTGGCTGAGTCAACAGTATGAAGCAAGTAACAAACTGGAAACACTGGAGCCGGAAGCTTACAGGGTTAAACCAGCCATAAAGACAAGGTAAATTTGGTTATAAATTTGGCTAGCAATTCAAATTTACATTTAGATAGGAGCCAGGAACTGAACTTAAAGGTTGGGCGAAATTTAAACCCAATTTACTTCATTTTCACTCTTCTTTGATGCATAATCCACTAGATAATGTTTAAAACCTTTTTTTGTCATAAAGATATGTACATATATATACTTAACTGGGGAGTCAGGACAAGGTCTTAGATGGTGACTTGTGATATCCCTTTAAAGTCTAATTTTCATACTTCATCCATGACCTCAGGCCCTCTCCTTCCTTTTCTCAAATGCCTTTTGCTTGATTCCTTTATTATATCTTCCTTTTACTCTGCAATTGACATGCTCAGATGTGGAACTTGAAGGTGGAGGACAGAAAAAAGAAGAGGGAAAAATAACATGAAGAGAGTAACAGAGAGAGAAAAATATGAAGTGCAAGACAGCAAATGATGAACTACTGAGGAATTTGAGGAAACAGAAGGGAAAGGGGAAAAGTTGGACAACTTGAAGCTCTGTTGAAATCTCTGAAGACGTATTAACAGGAACATATATACCTCTCCTTCTTTCCATATGTCCAAAAATCACCATCACTTTATTGCTTTAGACCACTTTTATGTTTTCATGCACATGACACCACATTCCACGAGCATACTGTATTGGGTTTAAACTGAAGTAGCCCTTAAAAATTCCTCACAAACACACTGTTTTAAGGATATGATCAAGACCACAGGACACTGCAAACAAAACCAGTTCATACCAGTTTAGTTGTAATATTGTTTGTGATGAGTAACACAGGACTGTAAAAAGAAAGTCACTGTTAGAACAGTATTTGTGTACAGAGCTGGGTTTTTTTTTCTTTTTTTAAAGCCTGAAATACAAAGCATTATGGTGCCAGAGTATTAGATACTCAGCTGTTGCCCCAAACAGCAGTAAGAATCAAATTGTGGAGCGACGGGGTACCATGAATACCTCCTTGGGAAATGCTGCCTGCCTACCTCTTTCTCATATTCAGTAAAGGTGCCCACCTCCATTTCTTAGCATTGGGATTGCAAGCTCAAATCATGTTTATGTGCCGAATCATGAGGAGCTGGTTTTACTGCAAAACTTCCAGCACTAAAATCTTGCTGCAGGGTAGCATGCAATGCAAGTTATGGCAGCTTTTACAAATGCCATGGATGTTTTCTGTTGCCTGGCAAAGCTTTCTGCATCAGTCTGCTCATCGCAAAGAAATATACTGCGTATTTCCCAATTAATCATCATCTTTGTTTAGGCCAGAGGAGCCACAATGGAAGGACAAGATTCTGTTCCTAATTAAGCCGGTGCATTCCATTTAAATAACAAATTTGTACTAGCATAACAGAGAGCAAAGCTCATCCAGAAGAGAGTTGTTTGTTTGTTTGGAATTATCTCAATGTTTTTCTCTGGGAGAGTTGAGAAGCTTGAGCAGAGGATAGAGAAGTTGCAAATCCATGGTTCCTAGATATATGCACATCAAAAAAGCATTATCAGATCTTACCACTGTTATGCCAATCAGCCTTTCAGTTTTCCGTTGCCTCTCCAGAAGAAAATGCTTGTGATTTAAACATGCTTTGCAAGTCACTTCTACAAGGAACCCTTTACATTTCATACCAAGTGACATTACAGGCCCACTCCATTGAAGTCAGTGGCATTACACTCGGAGAAAATATGATTCAATGTAAAAACAGTAATAGCACTGTAAAACTAACCTTAGGGAGTGTACAATAACCCTAGAGGGGAATTTTTTTCCTGCTTTCACTAACTGGGCCAAATTCTGTTCCTATCTGCATTAATGTATTTCCTCTATATGCTTGCCCATCTGAGTGGAGCTACTGTATACTTACATAAGGACATGCAGAGAGCAGAATTTGACACGGCAAATGACTAGCAAGTCTCAAGTTACAAAAAACTTTTTAAGCAAGGCACCAATATTGCCATTTTCCAGTAAGGCATATGTTGTATAATCCTAGGCTTCTAGCTACTTCAGTCAGTAATAAAAGGAAATGAAATCTATTATATGTGCGTGCGTACACACACACACACAAGCTTTTATATGGCATGCTTTTCCAAATATAAACTATTTCTTTGAGGGGCAGTTAAAGGGCATTTATTGCCAAAAAGAGCCATTTAAATGCCGCCGGTCACTCCTCCTACCATGGCCAGGACCAGCAGTAATGAGGTTTGCAATAACAACCAGCTGCTGAACTGTTCAAGTACAGTCAGCATGGGAAACTTACACTTGCTTGTTATCACTGTGATAAAGCCCAGCAACATTGTAGTCTGTGAACTACACTAGGCCAGGCATACTAGGATATATGTGTTGTTTGTGGTTTTTTTCTTAAATATAACATTAATAAACATAAAATAACACATACATAACAATAAATTAGCTTATAATCATCAATGGGAACTAGCATTAGCATATCAACACTGGTGCAGCTCCTGCACTGCTCATTTTGAGGGTGTGCCACCTCACATGCCTTGCAGTATCCATATGTCTCCTCCTGTTTTTCTTTTGCTGTTTGATATTGGAGTGGTGTGGGGGAGGCTTTGACTTTTAACATTTGCAGTTGCTTTTTACCTCATTTCCAGCTCCAGGCAGAAAGGTTTTGACTTTGATTGTCTTTCCAGGTGCAGGAAAAGGAGATTCCATCAGACTCCTCATAAATGGATAAACCAAGGCAGCAGATATTCCCCTTCTCCTTTCAACTTCATCCAGGATCTGATCCATTAGTAAGACATAAGAGAGAGACAGAACATGTCAGCACCACATACACTTTTGAAGCATCCTTTGACCCACCTGTGCCTAAACACAGATCTAAGTTTAATTCTCTTCTGCCATGCATTTCTTCACTACTGTTAACGCCACAGGATTCAACTCTAAAAATTATATGTTTTCCAGTTACAAAATGGAGCCTGTTTGTGAATGCAGTTAACACAGAGACAAGGAAGAAATAACAAATCTGGAAAGGAGCAAGAAGACTCATCATGGCAAAAAGGATCTATATTGTTGGGATTTTGCCTGAACAGGGTGAGCTGAAGGAGAGAAAGATCAAGGCAAATCCCATGATCACAGGCCAGGTCAGCATCACGTCTCAGTGGTACCTCTTGAAATTTGTGTTAAGAAGCAGCACTTCCTTCTGCCCTGGGGATCTCTTCCATTTCAACTGGAAGAGGGCAGGAAAAAGCCAGACCAGCAAGACAAGCAACCCTGCCACACTATGATACCAGCAGAGGTCCACCAGGAAAGAGCTCCTGGAAGTGTCCCGGCCATGGGGGCAGCAGTCGCATCGCAGTCTGTGCTGAGCTGGAGCCAGCCGCGAGCAGCCTCATGAAGCGTGCCCAGCTGTTTAAACTGGGTGCCGGCATTAAGGTCATTTTCTGTTTGACATGATGCAGAGCAGGCAATCTAGTTTTGAAATAAGCAGATGGAACTTTTTACAGATAGAGAGGACTATTATTTTCTTCTCTCTTTGGTCACATGGGCCAACATAAATTAGATCTCAGCTAAGTTTTCCCACATTAAACAGACCATATAGATGATAAACCTGAAGAAGATGAGAAAGCAAGCTTCAAAGCAGTTAGTGGTTTGACCTGAAATGGTGATCTTTTAACGACCACTCAAGAGCAAAAGGCCATACAAGAGTTAGTGGGTCTGAGCCAGGCATTTTCCCTTGTTTATCTTGGAAATGTTTTTCACTGAAAAGTATCATTTTAAGTATCATTAAAAGATACTTAAGCACAAGCTGGTGACTTACAACAATAGCTAGAGACACCAAATGCCAAGAGAGGCATTCACTGATGCATAGTTTCCCCTCCCTTCTTGCAACATAGTAAAGGCCTAACTAAAGCAAAGCTGACCCTATATACACAGCTTGCATTCCAGTCCATGGAAGTGGCAGATAACCATAAATGAAGATATGAATTTCATTCTTGAGGTAATTTGCAGCACAACAACTATCCTCACCAAACAAAACCAGCTGCCCAAATGGGAAATAGTAATGAACCACGGTTATGCCACAGGTCCCTTTAGTGCTGCTGCACACTGCCAGCACACAGCTGTAACACGCCCAACACATATCTCCTTTTCTGAAGTCATTATTTGATGCTTTATATTGCTGGAGTTGGGGGCCATGCGTGTGTCATATCCCTGTCCCAACAACCTTCACAACACAAATAAAAAGGAGCATTTAAACTGAATAAAAGTTGACCAGAGATCTCAGGAGATAAAGTGATCAAAAACATCTGTTGAAACCATGACCAAATGAACTGGCTGGAAATAAAGATACCTGTGGTTCTCGAGTCTGTCTTAGCAGTAGGTATGACAACAGTGAGCATAAAAGGCTTTGAGGAAGATGAAAATAATGCAGGCTATCAGAAACAGGATGATAAACATTTTAAAAGAGGACTCCTCTTGCTTTTCCGATAAATAATATCCAAGGTTTAATATCTCGTGGTCTTTCATCACTCACATTTTTTCTGTAAAGATGACTGTTCCCTGTTTTGACTAATTCAGCAAAGTGCACCATCATGCTCTTGTTCCTCTCTTTCACTGGATTTATCAGGACAGCCCAGGTTCCTCTTACTAGGCTGGAAAAGTGACTGTCTCACTTTTCAAGAACTTCTGTCTCCATCCACATCACATCTGTCTTCAAAACCAACAGGGATGCTAAGGCTCAAACTCTTTCATTTAGCAGCTGTTTCATTCAAACCCTTTCCAAATGCAGTGCTTGGAGTCTGTGCTAAAAAGCTGTGCTAAATCCAGCCCAGGGCTGGAGTCAGCCCTGCGTGCTACCAAACACCCTGCTCCCTCCCTGGCGCCGGTGCCATCAGGAGGCGACCAGCCCTCCGTCAGACAGTACCGCTGTGCCCGACTCCGGTGCGATGGGGTCCTTTTGTGGCCCAGCCCCTCCCCAAGCCTGGCAGCTGAAAAAGAGCGCAGGTGTGTTACAGCCCCATTCAGGGCCCAATATGCAACTGAGTGGGAGCCTTCCTTCCTGCACAAAGAATTTGAGGCCCGTGTGGCCAGGGCCTGCCGGCCACAATGCCTGGGAACAGCCTCTGCTGAAGCCAATGAAATTACACTCACCCATCAAATTTGGGTTCACTTTGGCTGGATGATCAAACACTTTTCTTCAAGTTACAGATTAAACTGGGAAAGCAGATTATTTGCAATTTTGGTGCAATAACCTTCCTTGTCTGACTTTATACCTCTGCTGCAGTGACACTTGGTTGTAAGGAGGATACTTAAATTTTCTTTTTTTTTTTTTGTTTTTTTGCCTTTTTTTCCATCTCCCAAGTTTTTCTTTGAAAATTAGTGCACTATCAAAATTAGATAAAAACATAAAAACAAAGAGCCTCAGGACATCTCTCCATACCACAAGTTTGGTGAGCTGTGTTACCTTCCCAGAACAATGCATTCTGTTTCACTCACAGATATCTATGTTTAGATACATATTATGTCTAAGAGACACTGTTATAAACCCTTGATTTCAGTCTTTATGAAAGACATCAGAAGCAGAACTGCAATTAACTATTGCAACCCAGTTGTTTTTCTTCACACAAGATTTGTGTTAAAGTTTTATCTACAAAAGCTTGAAACCTGCTTTGAAGATAACATTCTGTATGATTATTAGATCATACGAACAATATAAATGCCATGATTTTTATTCACTTCAATGATTTACACGTTCTTTTCAACTTTATTCCTATACAAAGGAACAAGAAAAATCTGTGTAAGTTCTCTGAGATTTCCCCTATCTGAAGTGAAAATCTCTGGCAAATTAAAACAACATTTCTATGAACACTGTATCAAAATGAGAAAAGGGGAAGGCAGCCATTTGACATTAGACATATCATTGTCCTCCACAGACACCAGCAAATCCTATATGATACTCTGAGGTGCTCACTGGATTTTGCAGGACACGCTCTCAGAGGACTAGGAGGCCTTAAACTGGCAGCTAGAGAGATATTTCAAATGTTAATCAATCAGAAATGTTATTAATAGTTAATTTTAACAAGCTTTTGTCTTACAAAAGAAGAATGCTTGTGGCTCTGGAGGTGACTAGCAGTTAACTGTTTCTATGGCTAGTCAATCCCTCAGTTTAGCTGCAATGCCCTGCTTACTGTATCGAAACTCTTGTGTCAAGAAATGTATTTCATGGTAAACCACATCAGCATACAATGCAGCTTTGTATTAATTAATGTGGAGACCAATTAAAAGCTTATCCATGCTTTTCTATCCTCTAGGATTAAAAAAAGTGTCAATAGAGTTAAGCACATAGAATTCACTTATCAAATAATCTTTTTTCTTAACCTCATCATTCCACAAGGTATTGGAATAAAAGCGGTACTGGCCCATCATTCAAACTGTGGATGCCAAGAATTACAGCTCAGCACAGAACGGCTTTAGAAAACAATGGAAAAAACTTAAGTCAGCCAGACCATACAGACACCCAGATGTTTTTTGAATCAAGTTCTGCCTCAGTCACAGAAGTAATAAGACATTCTTTGATGAACCTAATAATAGGGATGGAATAGCCAAAACAGCAACTGTAAAATACAGTTATCTCCCATCAAAGGAAGAAATTCTTCTTGTCTGGTTCATCACTGCAGATGCGTCTCAGTAAACAATCTAATTAAAAAGCAACATTGAAAAAAAAAATCTTCTTACCTTGGAAAATAAGTCAAAGCATCCCAGCCGGCTGATGACACAATAAACTTCAGGTAGGCGTGGGCCTTTTCCACTTGGCTGATAACAGTAAAAAGCAGATTGAAATTACATACTAATTTGGAGTCATAAGGAAATACACTTCTCCCTCTGATCACACAGTTGGCCATCATGTGACATCTTTCACTATCCGTTTCTCCATCAAAATAGCTACTCTTGGAAAAGCATCGTATTTCTTCCACAAGACAGGAAACTAAAAAGCATAAATACTGCTTATCCACTTTGGAAATCACAGCACATTGGAGCTGTATTCCAGTATCACTCCAGCCTGCAGCCATAAAAGCACATTTAACTATGACTGTAACTCAAGCCTGTGCTATCATTGTCCTCTGCTCCTGCTGTGGCATGAGGAGGAGTGGGGACCACCCTGGGGCCATGCGCTGGGAGATGACAACTACAACACTAAGGGAAGTTATGATGGCTTTAGTTCCTCACTCACTCCATGATGTTCAAAGAGAGCGCAACGTACAGAAAGCAAGCTCACAGACCTAAACAAAGGCAAGCTGTATGAGCTAAATCATTAACTTCCTCAGATTAATGCATGATAAAAAGAAGAAACTCTTAAATAACTTAAACAGTGGTAAGTATGAATCAATGATGCAAATCCACTCCACCCCGCCAAAACCCCTGTTAAAGGGCATCCTCTATAACCATCCTATTGAAGATATTTCCTAGAGAAGCAAATGGTTTAAATTGGCATGACTGACGTGTATTCCCTCAGCATACTGGACTCTGCAACCCTGCCTATACCACTGCAGGGAAAGGCTCATCAGCACTGTGCGTGAAAGAAGGGTACAAACACTTGCTGGATCCAGCTTATTTACTGGAAAAGAAGTAGAATTAGGCCAACACTGAGCACTTTAGAAAAGCCATCCTCACTGGCAAGGTCCTTAGAGCAAAGAGCTGGTCTGCCTGCGTCCTGAATGTGTACAATGCGCACAGATGCCACTGACATCCATGCGTAGGAGCTTCCCATGGTATTTTTAATACGCTGCAATGCAGCATTCCAGTTTTGTGTAGTTGCAGCTGATTTTCACCAGATCAAACCCCAGTACCCCAGCAGCAAAAAGCTGAAAGTGAGGTCCGAGACAATAGGTGAGGCTGCCTACTTCCTTGCATCTCGTGGAGTCAGCCGTGCTTGCGCCGCATGGAGTGCAAAGTGGCTGTAAAAGAATCACTTGGCATCACTTAGCCTCTCTGCACAGCTGTACGGTATTGATATGCAGCAGTGACAGAATCACCTCCGTTAATAACAGCTCTGTGATAAAGGAGCTCAGTCACTACTTCCATCAGCTTCTGCCCACTTATACATTCAGCCAAAGTGGCTAATCATCTCCTCTGTATCCACATAGGTAGCCAGTATACTTTTATCTTCGTCTCATCATTAGGCTCTGCTGATACAGTGATTAACTTCCCTGTGGTGTGTTAGACATTGTGACTGACAGATGTCAGTCAAGAGAAACTGAGGGGTACCTGTGCTTCTTAAATCTGAATATTGCAATCTAGACTTGAACAGTCAGCAGGTGCCTGCCTGTTATAATAAAGACCACAAAAAATACCAAAGCTAAGTGAATACAGATGAGTCTATTTCTGGATCCAAACCTGCTCACTACACGTCACATCTCAGAAAAAGCAGAGCCCTTTTTTGTCCATATTAGGTATAAAACCCTGTCTAAAGGCACTGAGTGATTATATCAAGCATGTGGGATTTTGGTTAAAATCAT